GGTTGCACTTACAATGAAGTCAACTAATGCACCCCTTCATTTTGTGAAAGTTTAAGCCACCTCAGTAGCTTCTTCTGTCTTATTCTTTCACAATGAGATTCCTTACCTAATAGTCAACTCACCCGACAAGTTTTGGCCTAGTGCAGCAACGACTAGTCTGTCAGCGGTGCGTCCGTGACTGGTAGCTTGGACCAGGTACTGTCATGTGTGACGTGCGGGATGTAAATGGGCTTTTAAGTTTATGGTTCCTAAATTCAAACAGCTCTTAACACGTCTTATTACTAACCCGCGCCATAATTTTTGTGCCCATTAAGCCGAATGTTTAGTTTGATTCATGCGTTCCAAAATACGGAAAAATCTACTAATGGTTTCAGAGGTCCATCTTTTTGACCAAAGCTGGTGTCCCCACCTTCTCCTCATTTGGAGAAAAACGTTCTGTCAGACTGCCTACATTTCCATTTTATTTCTATCAGTCTGCTTTTCTCTTTCATTCTATAAAGGTCGTGCGAAGTTTCACAAACGGCAAACGAGAGGGTGGTGATTTCATTGCTTGTTCGGTCAGTTCTCGCGGTGAATGGATTTACTGTGTCTGCGAGGACCGGCTACTCTACTGCTTTAACGTTGCTGCGGGTGGTCGGCTAGAACGCACGTTACCGGTACGTTACTGAGACTATTTGTTTCACAAAATGGGTACGTGATGGGAAATGAAATACATGCCTGGTTCTGGCTCTTAAGACCACGATGATGGTTGGCGTCCTAACTCGTGTACCCGCTTCGTTTAGTTGTCACCACTTTTTGATCATTGTTGGATGCCAAGTTGTATCAGTGAACCCCAAATTGAAGGGCTCTATCTTCTTTAAGACAGACTTCAATCACTGCTGACGGTTTCCCCTTAGCTTCACATTTAGGTAGAAAAGGACTCTCATGTCAAACACTCACACAACACATTTTTCTCCTTCTTACTACTTGTACTTGTGACGGCATTCACCTCGGGCGGGTTGAGCCGGCATCAGTTTTGACATTGACTGC